GTAGGGTCAGTAGTGGTTGAGAAGAGTCAGGTCACACGAACCACTATACTGAATTCCCCTACCTACGTGACGGGGTAGAAATACGGTATTAAAAATTAAAAAAAAAAAGGAAATGCAATTATGATCACTTGTTCAACATTGTGTTATCTTATTGGGCATTAGTCAACACCTCGGGAAGAAGAGCTTACACCCCTCCCAGTGTGTGTGTGGATGGTCACAAAACTACAGTAGCACAGAGGGATATTAAGACTGACAGGTGCTCCAACTGGCCGGGTTTTACTTCATTTCCAGGTGGTGGAAGTTTAGCGAGTGGGAGATTATTAACTGATGAATCCTCACTATAGCGGCGGGGGGGCTACCCTAGACGATGATGATAATGTGGTGGAGTGATCATCTCTCTCTCTCTCTCTCTCTCTCTCTCTCTCTCTCTCTCTCTCTCTCTCTCCTCTCTCTCTCTCTCTCTCTCTCTCTCTCTCTCTCTCTCTCTCTCTCTCTCTCTCTCTCTCTCTCTCTCTCTCTCTCAGTAAGTTATAAGTGTGCTGTGTGAAGGCTAGGAATCTAGGACGTTTGGGCCATGGGTCAAAGTAATAAAATAACTGAATAAACATATATGTAAAATATCACTGCTTATTTGTTATCGTATATCACAATTTATTTTAAAAATACAAAATCAATTCAATATTATTATATTTCAGTTAAACGTAATAATAATAATATATGCGAAATATCACATTGGATGTTTTTTATTTAAACCATTTGTTGTCCTCCACTGAGTTGTCCCACGGGGGAGGGGTGTTTCTGCCGTCCTTACTGTCTTGACACAAGTTGTGAGGCGTCCCTGTACTGTAATTCATCATAAGCTTTCTCTTCCATTAAACACTATGGTACTATTTTATGCACTGTTTTAAGCTTGCTGTAAACCTCCATCATTAGACGTAATAAAATCCTATGGCCCAAACGTCCAACCTACATACTGCTCGTGGCACAAACGTCCAACCTACATACTGCTCGTGGCACAAACGTCCAACCTACATACTGCTCGTGGCACAAACGTCCAACCTACATACTGCTCGTGGCACAAACGTTCAACCTACATACTGCTCGTGGCACAAACGTTCAACCTACATACTGCTCGTGGCACAAACGTTCAACCTACATACTTCTCGTGGCACAAACGTCCAACCTACATACTGCTCGTGGCACAAACGTCAACCTACATACTGCTCGTGGCACAAACGTTCAACCTACATACTGCTCGTGGCACAAACGTTCAACCTACATACTGCTCGTGGCACAAACGTCCGTGGCCTGAACGTCCGTCCCACCGCAGGGAGTTGAAGGCATCAGTTACCAGTGCGAGAGACGTCACTTGTAACACACCCAGAGGACGAAGTGTGAATGTCTTACACGTATGTTGAGGGCAGCACTGTTAACAGGTGAGCAGTAACTGGAGTTTACTTGTCCCGATTAAATATAATATTACCTAGGTACCTTACCGCCAGGGAGAGGAAGAATCCCCATCAATTTTGGGGGGTAAAACGTGGGATTTTGTGACATTTGTATGAGGTCCTTGGTGTCTGGTGCAGAGCGTATTATGTTATATTCAAGTGTGAGGTAATGTGGCTGTCTCCCATTAAGGCTTATAATACCGTCTAATTATAAATGCAGCTCACCTCCTGACTTAACGAGTTTTTAATGTGAAGAAATTAGGAAATCATGCTTCATATAGGCCAGAGAGAGAAAAAAAAAAAAAGAGAGAGAGAGAGAGAGTTTGTTATCAAGTTAACTATCACCTGAAAGATTTTTTCTATTTTACTCTCCAGTATTTAAAAATGGACGACGTGTGTGTGTGTGTGTGTGTGTGTGTGTGTGTGTGTGTGTGTGTGTGTGTGTGTGTGTGTGTGTGTGTGTGTGTGTGTGTGTGTGTGGTCAACAATGATCTGGACAATTTAGTCCAATAATCATTATTAATGTTCAGTTATACCTACACGTGGCTATGTAAGGTTATTCTTACAGGTTACAGTAGTTTGGTTGTCTTTCTGAATTGACGACATAGGTAAGGTTCCAGAAGTGAAGTGTTGGACATGACCGGAACACCTCCATTTATTAAGCGCACACACGTGGGGGACACATGCCTGCAGACCGTGGGAAGTGTGAGGCAGAATTGAATTGAATTGAAACATTTTATTTAGCCAGAAAAATACAGATACAGAGTGGATAATAATAACAATATTAACATGTTGGGATGACAGATAACTAAAACCTTGCTGAATTATCTTCTAAAATTACTGGCATAAAATTGCATATTTATTTAACGCAAGTTCTTAATGTGAAATTTAAATGAGGATCATGGAATGTATTTTGTCTTTGAGAAGATTTAAAGTTAGTTGAAAGGCTTGTCCCACCTCAGATGGGTTGGTCTCTCAATAAACCGCTGATCACATGGCCTCTCTCTCTCTCTCTCTCTCTCTCTCTCTCTCTCTCTCTCAACACGCCGGCTTCTTTATATCAGACTAGGGTGTTTCGAGATAGAGTATATGTCTTTTAAGCTTGGGACTTGGTAATGATAGTCTGCTTTCTAAAAATATATTACGTTAAGTCCTTTGTATAACCGCTCCTCCTCCTCCATCATTGTGATATTCGTCTTCATTGTGGGTCTTTAAAGATTAAAACGCGTGTCTATTGGCGCCATAAATACCATTCATTCATTCACCTGGTTTAAACATCCGGCCTCCCGGGTACTACATTCCCCAGTGTGTTTACCGATGACGTCACAGCCCGGGAGGTACACGTTGAGTCATCACGTAATGTAACAGAAAACGGTGATAGTGGCGTCGTTAGAGAAAACTTGCCTGACGCGGGGGGTAACTCTAGAAATCTTACCACGTTCACTGGGGGAGGGAATCATTGTCGGAAAAGTACTACGAATACGATCATTAATCCATTATTTTGTGTTTTCCTGCAATAGTAACACAGATCTAACCTGATTGGTCGTTTCTAGGGTAGTATATAAGATAAATGGTTCAGTTCTGATTGTAATGAATATAAAAGCTTACACACGGGCATTAGGTGCACACGGCTCTATTTAAACATGTCACAAAACAAAATTAATAACTTTATATAAAGACATTGGATTCTTGTGGTAATTTATAGAGTGAAATGGTACACACACACACACACACACTGACACACACACACACTGAACACACACACACACTGAACACACACACACACACCCCGTCGCCACCACTATCGATGACCGTGCAGTGTGGCTCAGTTGTTGCTGCTGCGTTGGCTGACTGTGCTCTTGACGCTGGTGTTATGCCGCAGTCCCTGTTGCTGTGGTGGGTGTCTGTCTGTCTTTCTGTCTGTCTGTCTGTCTGTCTGTCTTTCTGTCTGTCTGTCTGTCTGTCTGTCTGTCTGTCTGTCTTATTACTACATATATTCGTCATATATTTTTTATGTATGTTAGTGTTTGTTTTTCCCTTTGTCTCTTTGATTATTTATCGGTCTATTTATTCCCATCCATCCATCCATTCTATCTATCTATCTATCTATCTGTCTATCTATCTATCTATCTATCTCCAGCCTCCGGGTAACGTAGCAAAGGTCAGCCTTCAAAAGTCAAGGTCACTGCAGGTCTTACGGGGTCACTAAAATCTGTATGAGCGGGACATTTTTAGTGTGTGTGTGTGTGTGTGTGTGTGTGAATTTTGCTTTATAGTTTTTATTTATTTATTTATTTATTTATTAATTTTTTCAGTATCGTCCTGAGTTTCTTATGGTCAGCATTGAGAGATGTGGGGGAAGGGAGGAGGGGGGGAGGGGCCAGGGCCGGGCTGTTATAATCAATACCATCACATCCTCCTCCCCTCCCTCCCCCTTCCTCCTCCTTCCCCAGCCTGCTAACTGACTTGCCTCTTTTAGTAAATATAATTACTTGAGGTTTATTAATCAATACTGCACTTTTAATTCTCGTACTATCAGCGTATGTATCTAAGGAGATCTTTGAATTACATATACACCGCAATTGAAGCTGCCTCCTTGGTTGCAGAAACACCAAGGCTGTCAAGGATGGCTGAATGGCCTCTCAGTGTTGCATCATTGTTTACTAGGTAGCTTGGTTTCTGGAAGGGGTATGATTACTGAAGAGTATTTTGTGTTTGAGGAGGCGGTGATAGTTTTATTTAAATGTTAATGAGTGAAACTGGCCTATTTTAACACTGATAACAGCTAATGGGGTTGGGGCAAGAAGGTGTGTGTGTGTGTGTGTGTGTGTGTGTGTGTGTGTGTGTGTGTGTGTGTGTGTGTGTGTGTGTGTGTGTGTGTGTGTGTCACCACCAACACATGACCCAACATGTGTATATGTGTGTATATGTATATATATGTATATGTATGTATATAAAAAAATAATAATCAATAAATAAAATAAATAAATATTGAAGTAATAACCGTGGTAACATTATGAGATGTTCTTATTACCACCATGCTATTGTACTATTCCAGATGATACTAAATGTTACATAATACTTCCTTGAGATAAATGTATAGTATATATCAGGTGCCTACAGGAGAGCTCAGGTTCTCAACTGGCTCAGCCATGTTAATATTGTTATTATTATCCACTCTGTATCTGTGTTTTTCTGGCTAAATAAACTGTTTCAATTCAATTCAACACTGGTGGAGGTGCCCCGCTGCTGCTCTTCCTCCTCCTGGGAGAGTTGGGACTCCGCCTCCTCCCACCGCTCGCCCCATGACTCACGGGACGCTTCACGCTACATCCCTCCTCGTGTTTTATTCTCTTTAAATTATTTCCTCGTGTTGGGTGATAACTAATACACTAACAATTAACACCTGTGAGGGCCGAGCGTGGTGATTGTGGTGGTGGTGGCAGGAACAGTATGAGTAAGGCAGCTGCTCCGAGGCACCACCGAGCTAGCAGGTGGTGTGTGGCAACTGAGCGGCGCGTACTCGCCTGGCCCATCCATATTGAAATCCAGCAGTTGGAGTACGATAGTCTCTGTGATAGGATGAATTGTATTCCGTGTTCCTCAGTCAAATTACTCGCACTCCCCGTGTTGGTGTTTGTCCAGACTCTTCCAGCATCGATCCTCGACAGCACTCTTGTCAAGTGTCGCCCCTGTGTTGTCTCGTGTACTGTACAGATTAAAGATAGTGTGGTGTATCGTAGTGCTGGTGTGTAAGTTGAACAATTTGTTGAGTTACAAGTGAGTGTATAACAGTGAGGTGGCAGTCGTCCGTGGTAGTGTCTCACCATGGCTCAGTAAGGTGAGGACATGGCCGCCACCATCTCCGCTTCTCCAGCCCACCGTGACCCACTGCACCCCTACCACTGCTTCAGTCCTCGAGGTAATCCAGCTGCCTGGAAGGACCCCTAGCCGTAACTGTTACGTTCCCCCCATCACCACTGATATTGCGTGGAACATAAATGTTGTGTGGAGATAACGCGTCTAGTGCACGTAGTAAGGTGAAACATCAATTATTTTTTGGTAATCAAGCCATGGTGATGAACACGTTTCGGTCTAAGTTGCGGCGGCGCCGCGACGAGTTCTTCCGGCGTGGCTCAGACGAGTCTGATGAGTGGCAGTTTGTCCCCTTCAACCCAACTGTGTACCCAGCCAACAATAACAACACTTTCCACAACCTTCCCAACTACAATGGTGGGTCGTCCTCGTCTCCCGGGGGGTCTAAGACGCCCTCCACCCCCAAGCCCGCCATGCGCCCCTGGGCCATGCAGCGGGCTTCCTGGCACGAGGCTAACCCACCCATTCCGCCTCACGGACATGGTTCTGAGGTCAAGGGCTATTTCCCTCTTCCTCCATGTCCTGAGACGTCTCCGCCTCCGCTGCCTCCACACGGCCACGGCTACCCCGGCTCCGTGCCACCATGGTATGGCGCTCAGTTCCATGCGTCACCCATGCATTATCCAGCCTCGGTTCCTCCTGGTCAGTTAAGACCATCACCCGTGGTTCTGCGTCGAGCTGCCCGTGGGTCAGGCCCCAGCAGTGATGGCCCACCACCCATTAGCGGTGGCCCCAGACCTCCCAGTGGAGGCTCCAGGCCTAATAGCGGAGGCTCACGACCTTCCAGTGGAGGATCAAGACCTCCCAGTGGACACTCAAGGTCACGTCCCTCTAGTGGAGGCTCCGATATTGTTGACGCTCCTGTGATTAGCCCCGAAGGTTATCCTCCGCAGATACCCCCACATGGGCGGCCAGCCATACCGCCCCACATCACCAGTACCAGGAACAACATGCCCACCACCAAGACAGTGACGGGCTCCTTGCCTCCACCCCCGAACCTTCCCCTCCCACCGCCCCCCGTGCCTGCTCACTACTCTGACACTGCTCCCACCTCTGATCACACACTTCCCAGCTTCCTCCCTGCCAAGCCAAACAGCCTTAATCTGGAGCATCTGACTCCCTTCTTGGCCTCGCTTTTCGACAAGGACTCGACGGAGACACAAGAGGACGTCTCTCCCGACTCCCCTGAGTACAAGATTCCTGTGGATCAGTCACCCGAGTACAAGTCTCCCTGTGACTGTTCCGATTGTTACCCAGGTAATGTTTATCCTTGCTTGACCATAACAGTGGCTTGTATTGGTGAAGCACTGCCTATAAGGTGCCATAATCTGCATGTTATAAGTACACAACTTACATGGGGCTGTGGCGTACATTTTGTTTTATCGGATATGAACCGTTACCATGGAGGTCCCTAGTATACCTCCATGACTTACGGAGAGGTGACTGTTACATGTCTCTTATATGCACTTAATATAATTATACTGTACAGCAGAACCTTGGGATTAGGTACGGACGGCTGGACAGTAGAGTGTTAGGTGTGTCCGTCCGTCCGTCCAGAATGTTGGGAGGTGAGCACTAAACCCCCGCCGTGTCCTTGGTCATCTGCCTGGTAGATTCGTCCTCCTCCTCCTCCACCCTTTACTCCATCCTTCCGCCTATCCTTATCCACATCTTCCAAATCCTTCCCCTCACCCCTCTTCCCTTTCATCACCATCTGCCTTCTTTAGAAAGAAAATTTAAAATGAATTTGGTATTTTTAGTAATATTATTTTCAACCCAGAACACGAGTGGGTGGCTACAGTGCCGCCACCTTTATGCCAGAGGCTTCCTCACAACACCATTCATCCTGAAATACTAAAGGGAACTAACCACCTTAAACCAACAACAAAAGCCTCGAGTAACAGACTGCAGGGTTTTAACTACCTGGGAACTTTGCCACCCTTCACCACTCGACTTATTTTGACCAAGATGAAAACTAATGGACAAACTCAAGGTCTACTGTGTTGTTTGCTAACTTAACAGTCTGATCCTCACAATACTGACTTCAGGGCCACAATTACTGACAACTAATAATATAATGATACTAGACTGTGTTCGAAATGACCTTAGCTCTTGGAAGTGTTATTAGTACGGGAACAATGTGTGAAGGTAAGATATACGTCATATGATAATGGTGAAACCACTCAAGGCTTCTGACAGTCTCTTTATACTTAGTCAAAAAATCCACATGCTCTTTTCCCTGCTATTTCTTGGCGTATTTTTAGAGTTTCCGGCATAATGACTCGGTGTGAATACGTGGTGGCAAATGTCACACCAACTGGCTGACGAATGAACCAAATGACAGACGACGACAAGACCTAGGTGACGAAAACCTGTTCCCAGCCAACTTTAGTACAGTACTCTTGGTTACTACTTGTGAATGTTCTTTGAAGAGGTGCGGCGGCTGATGGAGATAACGCCCTCCTCTTGCTTTAGTAGTGGCTTGTTCTACCTCGGGGCACCCAAGTGTAAATGGGTCTCTAACCCAAGTTGGGGAAGTGAAGGCGGCTGAGTGCAGTGCCGGCCACGTTTACTGCACTGAAGACAAGTGTCCACACTGTCTCTAAAGGCATTCAAGCTTACGGGACCTACTCATTGTTCTGTGAAGTTTTATACCAACTTAACATGCCCTTGATGGAAGTGTACACATTAATTCATTATTTAACACATTAACTTTGCGTTCGCTTATATATTGATTTTATATTTCCGTAAGTTAGGAAAAAAAAAACGGATATACTAGTTGAGGGAACATGACAGGTAATGAGTATCTCCTCTGAACATGACCACTGAAGCTCCTCCTGGGGGTTGTGTTCGTGTTGGTCGTTTTCACACTTCAGGAGGATCTACAGGAAAGCCTTTATAAAGATGAGTGTGTGTGTGTGTGTGTGTGTGTGTGTGTGTGTTGTATCATCAGGCCCTTGTTGTCATCGCATCTGGCGTAGCTTTCATCTGTTGGTAATCGCCTACGTACGTTTAATTTATTAGAAATACCTTAGAAATTGTATTTTTATGCGAGATATTTTTTATAGCGTCGATCGGTGAGTGTAAGATGAAGCTCAGTGACAAGTAGGAGTGCCTCAGGTGGGCTGCCACTGTCGTCATCTGAGATCTTGCCAGTTCAGGGTCTCAGGAAAGCTGATACTGCGCTTTCAACTTTTACCATTCTTAAAAACAGTCATCGGGTCGACGTGAGCCTGGGTGAAGGTAGTGCTGTTAGTTCTTTTCTTGTGTTCATTTTTCTGTCTCGTCTGCCCTTGAAGTATTATATTTTGTCATTAGATTTTTTTGTTAGTTTTGCTAGTTTCTTAAGTTTCTTTGAGAAGATTGTAAAATAGTTACTAGATCTCAAGTAACCTGTTTGAAATAGGTTACCACGAAAGATGATGAAAGTCACTTGATAATCATGGTACTGGGGTAGTCTTTGTGAGAGAGAGAGAGAGAGAGAGAGAGAGAGAGAGAGAGAGAGAGAGAGAGAGAGAGAGAGCTTCTATTATAGTGATCTCATTGTTGCTAGGGTAAACTGATGGCGTTTGAGTCCCGTGTACCAAATAGTCACCAACACACCCCACAGCCCAGGCACCACACCACCCACCACCCCACCCGCTCACCCAACACCACCACCCACCACCACCACCACCTACCACCCACCACCACCACCCACTACCCACCACCACCACCCACCCACCACCACCACCACAACCCACCACCCACTACTCCACAATAACCCACCACCACCATCACCCATAACCCACCACCACCACCTACTACCCACCACCACCTACACCAGACACCCACCACCACTCCACTTTTCATCAGCACCACTACTCCACTCACCACTCACCCACTACCCATAACCTGACTACTCCACCACCACTCCACTACTTCCGCCAACTCACCACCACCTGCAACCCACCACCACCTGCCACTCCTCTATCACCACCACCACTCCTCCAGGTGTTCATGGTGGTTTGTTCAGGTGTTCATGGTGGTTTGTCCAGGTGTTCATGGCGGTTTGTTCAGGTGTTCATGGTGGTTTGTTCAGGTGTTCATGGTGGTTTGTTCAGGTGTTCATGGCGGTTTGTTCAGGTGTTCATGGTGGTTTGTTCAGGTGTTCATGGTGGTTTGTTCAGGTGTTCATGGTGGTGTGTTCAGGTGTTCATGGTGGTTTGTTCAGGTGATGACGTGCTGGGTATCTCTTTACTGTTTCCTAACCTAACCTAACCTAAGGTAACGTAACTTAACCTGATCTTACCTAACCTAACCTAACCTAACCTGACCTGACCTGACCTGACCTGACCTAACATAACATGAAGATTAGACACCCCCAGTTAACTTCACCCGATGACTACTGTAAACACCCTAATTTAGTCTCAACCTTCCTCCCGGTAGCTAGCATCAGGGTGTCTAATGAGGAGGTGATATAAGCTGGGGTGCCTGATGTTCATGTGAGGCATCAACTGTGTATATAATTACTAAGAGATGTATTGGAAATGTTTGTAATGGAATGGAAAGATAAGAGAGAGAGAGAGAGAGAGAGAGAGAGAGAGAGAGAGAGAGAGAGAGAGAGAGAGAGAGAGAGAGAGGCAGGAAGTAACGGTGGGCGGGAGGACCACCAGCCAGGAGGTCCCGCTTACTTTTCTCTCGTTGTTAGGTGCCACAGTACTTCACGGGCAGCTGGGGGTGTCATTAATAATAGTTCAATGCACTTGAGTGACTCACAGCCATTAAGTCGTTGAGTCTTGCTGTGGTTTACGTATCTTAAGGTTTACATAAGTATTTTGATGATAACAAATATCCTGGATATTACATAAATAGTCTGATGTGATGTGCTCGGTGTTATAATCCTGTACCAGAACCATTGAGTTGAAGGCTTCAGTCCCTCCGCTCTTCATGGTTTCCGGGCCACTGCTTCAGAATTCCACCAATAGAGATTCTAAAGTGATCAGGTGTGTGTGTGTGTGTGGCAACCTTCCCCCAAGACATCTCTCAGGGATCATATTCCGGGAACTTTCCTCCCCCGGGGGAAAATCATGATCATATAAATAGATGATTTTTCAGCCCTTCATGTATACAGGGCCAGAGGCGTGCACCTCGCCTCCACCTACTGCCGAACTGTTTGGTAGGTCCTCTGTACCTCCAGTCACCCCCCCCCCCTTAGTAAAAAAATATCATACCCTCCCATATTTGTTTTAAATCCTTTATCGGGATAGGTTAGGTTGGGGGTTATGTCTAGAATTCATAAATCTTGGTTCTTGAACTTCACCTTCTTGGAAATGTGTCAAGTGTTCAAGAACAACTGTACAGGCACCGTACACAAGGCAGCAAGAGTTATAACGGTGCACAAAGCGGTGACTGGCTATGTGATGGTGACTCAGTGGTTTATGAACGTGTAGGCAGTGCTTTTACCAAGATATTAATGTAAGTTGACCTAAAAACTATATTTTATTTATATCTCAAACTTTAGTTGGTGATGGAGACTCAAGGAGGTACGTGAGGGAGGAGTGTGAGGAGGAGAGGTAGTGTTTTGGCCGCCCCTTCCTCCCACCCCTCTCCCACCCACTCACTCTAGCCCCTCTTTCTCCCATTCACTTCCCCCACCCTCCTCCCCCCCACCCATTCCCACACCTCTTCCTCCCGCCCTCTCCCTCCTTCAGTAGGCTGGTAGGACTCGTCGGCCTGTCACTCTACTACACCAAGTGGTCAGTTACATATGTCCCCGTGCTCTCACAACTTGTTTGCTGGGAGGAAAAAATCACGTCGCAGAAAATCCCACCCGCTCATGTTTCTTGATGACCAAAGACCCTGTCAGGTTAGCTTAAGTTACAGTACAGTCAGTTATATTATGGTAATATGGGTTAGGTTAGGTTAGGTCAAATTACATAGATTAGTTATGGTTGATAAACCTTATCAACCAAAACTAATCTTTGTACGAGGTAGGTTAGGTTAGGTTGGTTAAATTCGGGGAGGAAGATAGGAAGATTAAACCCGGCTAGGTAAGTGGTAATCACCCCCAACAACTGATTTCTCAAGAACTTACCTCATACCATGCTTGACGTTGCAACATCTGCCTGTGTGTGTCACCAGTCACTCGGGAGATGGAAACATAGGCGGTGCTGCTCACGTCTACCATGACTATGCCAGTAAGGTTAGGCTGTTTCCTTACTCTCCCTGTGTGTGTGTGTGTGTGTGTGTGTGTGTGTGTGTGTGTGTGTGTGTGT